TTAGACTTTTGTAATTTCACCCAATCCCTGTGGAGACGATACTCACTAATCATTATATTACTTGAACGATTGTGTATACTTGCACATTATTTGCGTATAATTTATAGTACTCACAACACGCGAACAGCATTCCCTTAGCGTGGCTCCCTTTGTTGTGTGTTTAAGGTAAGCCTTTATGGGTGCAGTTCAAGGGAACTACATAACGGTGCTCGGTTGGAGGGTTCTAATATGGTTTTAAAAATATGTTTTAAACTGTCATTGTTTTAGAAAGATATGTACCCTTTTTACTGATTTTTGGTGAGAACACACTAGACACCCTATTATGATCTCCTGACTCTAGTCCTCCAAATGTTTACTCTGAACTTGAAGCTTTCTGGTGGAACCTCAGCTTATTACAAAAGTCTGTAGACGGCTGAGTCAATGAGGAAAACTTATGATGCTCCTTTTATATGCATGTTTTTCAGCATCATCTGGTAGTTTTTTATTACTGAGCTTCCCAAAGCTCACTCTTTTACTCCCATTTCAGGTTAAAAGAATCAAATCAGTGCAGCTATCAACATCAATAAAATGAGTTCCACCGACGTTGCTTGCAGAGTACGGTGCATGTGATTAGCGGGCATGTAGGTTGTATTTTGTTTAATATACGAGTCTGAAATCTGTTTTATCTCTGAAAATTTGTAAATTTTACTTTTGTATTTATAGATTATTTTATAATTTTATGCGTTTTAACAAAAATTTTAATTTTCTGGGATTTTTACGGTGGATCCACCAGTATCGGTCTGTGGGTGTTACACAACAATAAAAGCCCGACAAAATAATGAATCAAACTTCTACATGAACGGGGAGATGAATAGTTGTCAGAAAAATTAACAGAAAATGACCTACACCATGAAACGCTGAGAGTTCTAACATTAACTGGCCTCATAGATACCATTTTGACCAGGGGGTACCAAATCAATTTCAAAGATCTATTTTCACTCTAATTTTAGGAAGCTAGTTATTTACATCTTATATTCTCATATTATATGGTGTAGTATCAGGTTAAGCTTAAAGAGCATACAATTCTCCAATCAAGTGCAGAAACAAACACCCCAATGTAAAGATGGCAAATATCAACAAGTTCTAAAAATGTTGCATCAACTTCTAAAGCATTGGTACCTTTTGTGTGCCCCGCAAACTCCTTCACTGGTGACATTATATTCCGCATATCCCAAAGCTGTTAGCAAAAAATACCAGAAATTAACAAATTCCAAGCAAATAGAATCCACATTCGAAGCAACATAAAAAAGATGATTACCCTTAAAGTTGGTGAATCAACTTCATCTGAAGCAACAATAAGTTGAGTGGCAATATCAGGATGCCACTGCAAAACAGAACATCGCCTTCTAACTGAATCTGCAAAACTATTGTTTAAAAAAAGGATTAGGTCAAAGATGCGGTGGGTCAGGATGGAAATAAAATGCAGAAACAAGAAGAAAACTTTCACTAGGTAGATAACATGAACTTTACCTTATCACTGGTTTTTGCTTCTTCAAGTCCCAAACAACTGGACAATTATAAATATATACATTACCTACCCAACTAAACTTAAATGACAAAACAATAAGTCTAGAGCCCATTAATTTCCTCACCAGTTGTTCCATTATAAGAAGTTGAGGCCAGAATATGTTGGACTTTACTATTCCAAGACAGAAATGAGATTTCACCTTGAATAGCAGAACCACTACCCTGCATGATAACAATAAAAAACTATGTCAGATACCTCCATAGTCCATACATATATATCCTTTTGCTTTCTCATCAATGAGAGAGGGGGTTGACTTCTAAGCTAACCAATTGCATACTTTGAACATGAACAGAAATAAGAACGGGTACAGTGAAGACATGGCAATTACGAAGAATGAAAATGCATTTAGTTGAACAACAATGGTGTGAACTATGAAATGTGTTGATCTTAATTCTATACACAGCTCAGAATCAACAGACAATAATCATGCAGTACTTAACCATGGTGAGCGCTGAAGAGATAGATGAAAGAGCTTTACAATTCAACAAGTTATAAATGATTTTCCCAGACCTTAAGAGGAGGAAAATGAGACGGTTGTGAAGGTGCTGACAAATCCCAGATGCATATTTCACCATCATTGGCCCCAGACGCTAGCAAGTTTGGAGTAATGGCATTGAACTCAAGACCACGAACCTAAAGTATAAGGATGATAAAAGAAGAAATATACCATGAAATCTTCAAATGCTAGATGAAAAATATCATATATGTCAAAATAGTAGAGGTTTTATTATCCAGAAAAAGAAGGAAACTCACAGGCCCTTTGTGTCTTGAAAGATGTCCAACAAGAGCTTGTTCACTTGACATAGAGCTGAGGAAATTGTCATGTTTAAACCAAATTATAATCTTCTTGTTTCAAATTGGTTACACAGCAATAAATACTAATATTTGGCAAAAAAATTGTGAAAGTAACCAATTCCAATCATCTAGAAAAAATGACTATAAATGACAAGCTAGAAGAATTAAATCTTCTCTGAGAAAGGTCCAAATTAAGAATAGTGTTATCCATAAATATTTCCAAAAATGATGTTCTTTTTATTTTGATTCTTAATCTAATAAAATACAGCATGATCAAAATTAAGCAAAAGAAGTGTTTGTGCTCATTTAGAAATGATCCAACCATAAACTAACACAAAACAAACAGTGCTCATAAGCTGCTATACAAATTATGCATGCAGCTTGCTAAAGCAATGGCAAGATTAGGCACAAGGAATTACTTATCCAACTTATTCCTGATTGCACAACAAAGCAAATTCATTACAATTTACAAAAAGGAATTCAGTTTTAATAAGTAATCTAGGTCACAAATCATGGGAACATTATTACAATACGATGTCATACAAAAGCTAGCTTCGAAGCAAACAATCCGAAAAGTTTGAATAACCACTTGTTTAAATCATAAAAAGCACCAACTTAACACAAGATGTGAAAAGTTGAAAGAAGTCTGTATAAAAATGCGTAAATGAGCATTATATAAGAGCAGTAGAATCCCAAGTAGATGGAAAGCGGCCACAATTTTCCCATCCAAACAAACATCGCACTTAAAACCTGCAACAGAGCCAATTTAACTTTATCTATTACACTATTCTGTCACTACATGTCCAATTTAATAGAAAATTAAAGTGAAGTAGATTAAATCAACCGTTATGTACAATATGTCGATTGATTATGGAAAGAAAAAAAACAATACCGAATCAGGTTTAAGGGGTTCCAAAGATCGATATTGCCATCAACGAGGCCACCAGCAATTAGCCCGAGTGAAAACTCATCGGAGCCAAATCCGTTCTTTCCCCAAGCGACGCGGTTAAATCGCTCAGATGTGGGGCACTCGCCTACCAAAGGAAGGTCGCGATCGTCACTCTGGAAATCAAGCTTGAAGATCTCGAGATTCGCCGATGAGCTAAAGGACAGATCCACCGCCCCAGCCATCGTCCCGGCCGCCATGTAAGGAGCGTCCGGCGCTAGTGCCACTTGTGCCGATCTATTCACCCCTTTTATACACGCCATTTTATTAGAAGCCAACTCCACGGCAATCATTATCATCCTAAAATGCCTACAGTGAATAATAAACAAAGACCGATAACAATTATCTGCCCATATGCTGATTTCGGATTCAAATGGTGAGGATTCGAAGGATTAGGGTTTGATCTAATTTTGGGAATTCAAAAAGAGGGCGAAACACAGTGGAGTGAGATTCTTTTTTTAAAAAAAGATTTTCTGGATTTGGACTGATTGCGATCGATGGAGGAGAGTGGTAAACTGGTAATTTTATGAAAATTATTTGTGCTGCAGCTGGTAGTGGTGGCGGTTTCGAGCTCGAGCGATCCCTTCTGTTAATTCATGTTCTCTGTTTGGTAATTTAATAAATGTTACACCTTACAAAGGCGCGCTTGGGGGAAGAAAACAGGAATGTAGGATGGAATTGTGAGAATGTACAAAATTTATGGTGATTTAGTGAAGATGAAGGGTTGGTAGGGTCATGCCTCCCTAACGGTAAAATGACATATTTAATCCCTTAAAAAATTTCAAGTTTTAAAAGTAAAATCATATCCTTTTTTGAATTAAAACGAAGGAAATTAGAGAACTAGATTAGCTAGTACTGGTTTAACAATAAAGGGGGCATCAATGCCTCTATGAAGTAATGATTGTGTGTAGTACGATGGAAGATCATGATGAAGTATCTCAAACTAGGAGGAAGAAATGTATTTGACCAAAAAAATCAACTGGACGATTAACTTCTCGTGGGACTCAGATGATGTCAAATACCCATCCTCATCGTTCCATCATTGAGATGTCACAAACTAGAGCCGAAAGTCTTGAGTGAGCATTAGTATCTTTGAGAGCTGATATGAGTCGAGAGCAATCCGATGGAACCTACACCATTTCAAAACCATATTGCCAGCCAAGACGTATAGCCTAGAGTTATGCTTGGAGGACATCCGGAGAACCAATGGCTCTTCCGAATCCATAAATCCAATCCAGGATCTAATACTGTCAGCTAAATGCAGCAAAGAGTATGTTTCAAGAAGTGTCAGCTTTATGAAAGCTTAACATCGATTTAATATCCCTCTACAGGTTATATTATTTTTTCTTATAAAAAAATGTTCGCGCTGAATGTATTTTAAGAACTGTAAGTAATGCTAAATAGATAAATTTTAAAGAAAAAAAATGCATTTGAAAAGTGTTTTTTTTAAATGTGAAAATTAAATTTGTAATTTAACTTTAAACCTTTAAAAAGATTTCAGACGCCGCTCCTGATCACAGAGTAATTGTAATTTGTAAGAGAAGATAATTATTCCACATGGTCTTCCAACCATTTGAAACTAAAATTCATTGTGCATTTTTTATTGACAAAGTCCAATTACATTCAATTTAGTATGATACATTAATAAATAAAAATGAACAATAAAGGGTTTGGGTTAATAGTAACGTTCAAACACCCCTGCAGACGTTATACTCAAATCCGAAACCTCTAAATATAACAATTATTCCTTTAATCAATGAGATCACATGGATCGAATTACACATTGCTATTTGTCCAACTCCTCCTAGGCATAAATTGAGCCCATAATATGGGAAACAAACCTGGTTGAACTTTTCTGTGCAACAAGTACGCACCAGCAGTCCAACTTGGTCCTCAAATTCACTATCAATGGCTTCAATAATGAGCAGATTCGATCGCAACCTGTTGTCCACAACAACATGATTAATGGACCAAGGAACTCAAACTGAGGATTAAATGCATTCGAAGTACAACAATATGAACCAGTTAGATTTGTACAACAAAGTTACTTGAAATGAATAAGCTTATTTATTAAGTTCCTTCCCATCCTTCTTTGGGCCAATCCATGGAAGTTGAACTGAAATGGTTTGTCCATTCAAACAAAAAGAATACATTTACCTCGACTAACATAAGCCAAATTGCTGGAGCGCGCTAATCTGTAGGGTCTATCTCCACGCAGGGAATAGGAGCTATCATGGGCCAATATTCTCCTTTCTTAATTGAGCATTTGCCTTTTAGACGTGAGCAGTTCCTAATACAAAGTCTTCCAAGTGTTGCAGGCAACCCTTCTAAGTACCGAAGCTTAGGACAGTTGACGACCTCTAGCTCTTCAAGCGAAGACAGATTTCGAAGCTCCTTGGACAGGGATTCTAGATTATGGAGTTTCGTGATGTATATCGAAACTAGAGTCGTTGGAAGTAGACAATCTTCATCTGGAAAGGAAACCATCTCCTGTACACCAGCAATCCTCAAGTCTTCAAGTGAGGTTAACGTATGCAAGTTCCAACTCGATACCGGTTCCTTGAGGTCTTTACAATCCCAGATCTCGAGTGACAATAGATTAGGAGGCAAAACCCCTCTGGGAAAACACACAATTGGACAGTTGCAAACCGTTAAATACCGAAGTGAAGTGAGATTTAGCATCTGATTAGGTAGAGACTTGAGGCTGACACAACTGATGATGTCCAAAGATCTCAGGTTTGGGAGGGACAAACCGGTCTCTGGGAAGTATTTCAGATCCCGACAACTGCTTAATTTCAGTTCCATCAAACATGAAAGGTTGTTTAGAGAATCTGGCAAGTTTATTAGAGTATAACATTTCCAGATATCAATGTATTCGAGTGATGCATTATCAGGCAGCATCTCATCTGAAAATGGCTCCAGCTCCGAGCAATCCAAAATCTTAAGCATTTTAAGGCTAGTTGGAAATCTACCTTCTGGAAAGCGAGCAAGAGAATGACAGCCAATGATCTCCAAATGCTCGAGACAAGATACAATTGCGTCGTTACTGGCCTGCATCAGTCCTTCGGGTAGCGAACTTAGGCGAACGCAATCTTGTATTCTTAACCTTTTTAATGTGGGAGGTAACCTCCCTCTTGGAAAGCATATGAGTAAAGGGCATGCTTCGATTTCCAAGTCTTCAAGAAGACAGCCAGTAAGTTCACCGTGCCTCATTATCCAACAAGGCAGGTCTTTAAGCAGTGGAAAACCTCTGAGCCAAAGACATCTAAGCGTCAACCACAAACCTGTCTCGGGAAAGGATACAAGTTTCGGGCATGATTCAATACACAAACGCTCAAGAGACGCAAGGCGATGCAGCTCTTCCTTTCCTGTCAGTGAGAAAGATATGTAAGAGAACATACATTAATTTTTGCATGAACAATAGAACTAACATTCAAAAATTCAGTACCTTTCCGCCACAATGATGTCAACCCGGTGCATTGGGAAAGGATAAGATGCTTAAGTGCTCTGGGAAACTGTTCAAACCCATCGGCCAGACATGTAAGGTCCGACAAACTCTTGATTCTCAGTGTAGTTAGAGACGGAAGGTTGACCATGCTCCTTGGAATCATCTTATTGCAATCTTCAATACTAAGGTCAATAAGAGATGGGAGGCTCGAAACTGAATAAGCCACATGGGGGCATCCTTTGATTGCAAGTTTCACCAGAGAAGGCAAGTATCCGGGTAATTCTCGATGCAACTTTGGACAGTTATCAATCATAAGCTCACGAAGACTCGGGAATTCCCCATATTCTTTATTAGCTTTGTTAGGATAGTCCCAATCCTCCCAGTTCAACATGTTTTTGAACTGAAGAACTTCCAAAACTGGGAAAGGTTTTAAAGAAGGTAAGCCATATCCAAAAAACTCAAAATCCAATCTTTTGACTCCATTCATGCCTTCTATCAAACACTTCTTGAGTGAGGGTAGTCTCCCAAGTGCAGGAAGGGACGTAACGTTTCTACAGTTGGAGAGGTTTATATCCATAATATTAGTCGATGAGGAACCTCCTAACCAAGATGGAAACTTAGTGCCAGGATAAAATGCAACTCGAACTCTTTCAAGGTTTTGATGAGGTTGTAGCATGTTGAAAACATGTATTCCGTCGTCACCGTTTCCATGATTAAGCGATTCATGACTCCATTGCAAATCTAACCTCTTAAGGCCCTGCTTATCCTTCAGAACATAAGCACTAGCATCTCGAGTATCAACCACATTTTCCAGTCCAAGAATGGAAAGGTCCTTTCGCAAATGCAACAAGCCCTTCAATTCTGTGATGACAGAACGGCTACCCCTTTGCACTATGAATTTGGACAAAATCTGTAGCTTTTTCAGGTTGTCAATCTGCATTGGCATCTCTGTTAAACTATCAGTATCGGTAAGATCAAGAACATGAAGATGAATCAGATTCTCAATCGCTTGAGGCAACTTGGAAAGGTTGTTGCACCCATGCAATATCAATGACTGTAGGTTGAAAAGAGAACCCACGGAATCTGGCAACGATTTGATTCTGGTGTGAGATAAATTCAGGTACCGTAAGTGTATCAAACCGCCTATATGATGCGGTAGCTCATCGATGCAATAACCACTCAGACACAACACTCTCAAGCAGACTAACCTTGGCAACAACTTTTGTAAGACATTATTGCTTAAATAAGATTCTGCTGCCCATGGCAATTTATGAACTGGTAATGCCACCAGAGTTCTTAATCTTTCCATTTGATGCAACATTTCAAATCTTTTTGAAGTGTCGTATTGGTGACGAACGAATGAAAAATGCCGAAACTGTTCGACTCGATCATTTAACTTGTCTCCATGAAATTCAAAACTGAAGCATATTTCTCTGGAAACAAATTGAGCAAGGTCATTTATGAGGTCATGCATCACATACCGAGTTTTGTTACCGATTGACTGCTGGAAAAAGGATCTCGACGATAAATCACGAAAATATTCAACTCCTATGTCCTCCATTTGCTTCTTTCGGTCGGTGGGGTGCAAGAAACCCTCTGCCATCCACAACAGAATCAACTCTTCCTTGTCGAATTCATAATCCTTTGGGAATATAGCACAATAAGAAAAACAATGCTTGAGATGGAAAGGAAGGTCATGGTAGCTCAATCTCAGAGCAGGAAGGATGCCGCTTTTTGCTTCGGGTAAATCCCAAATCTTGCTCTTCATGATGTCTTCCCACTCATCAGGTTTCCCTTTAGTACGAAGGAGTCTTCCGAGGATCTTAGCTGCCAATGGCAAGCCTTTGCACTTCTTTACTATTTCCTCACCGACTGCTTTAAGACGTGGATGACCTTCGAAATCCGAAGCCCCAAGAGCATGCCGAGCGAACAGGGAGAGACAATCATCGTTTGTGAGTTCCCTCAGATGATGAGTCCCACAAGTAGCCATCATCGATACAACATCTTCGTTTCGAGCTGTCACAAGAATTTTACTTCCGGCTGCCCCTTCAATGAAAGGCCGACATAGAAGCTCCCATTTTTCATAGTTCTCATTCCACACATCATCTAAAACAATAAAAAATTTCTTCCCACACAGCTTCTCCTTTAATCTAACTTGGAGTAAATCCAGTTTCTTTACACTGCAACTCTCTAAAGTAACAGCCTGAAGCAAGGCCTTCGTCAGCAGGACAACGTCGAAGTCCTCGGAGACACAAACCCAGACATTCAAATCGAAAAAGCTCTCGACTTCGATATCATTGTACACCAACTGAGCAAGAGTGGTTTTACCCACACCTGCCATACCCCAAATGCAGGCCACACCGATACTACCGGTATCATCGCTATCATTCAACAGCATATCGATAACGGCATATTTATCCGATTCCCGACCGTAGACAAGAGACTCGTCGACAAGAGAACTACTGATTCTTAGCTTCTCTTTCACTATATCATACCTTCCTCTACCATTCTCAACTAAACCCAAATTATTCTTCATTGAAACAGCCTCTTCAAATCTGGCAGTTAAGTTCTGTATCTTGGACTCAAATTTGAAGCTAAACTTAATATTTGAAGGATTACATATAAGAAAGCAAGTTGGGATGTATTTCCTCACCATGCGAGAGGAGAAAGAGGGGTCGGAATCTTCCTTCATTTGGCGGCGCTGTGCTTCGTAGGCGAGCTCGTCGACGATATCCTCGGCGTCATACGCAATGTCCCGTAAGTCACGGAGCCAAAACTCGACCGATTTGCTTGTGATTTGCTTTTCTTCAGCATCTTCAAGGTAAGCATTGATTTTGAGCAGCAACTTTTCCCACTTCTTGAGCTCGGATAAAATCTTGTCTTTGCGTCCGAATTTGTTGAAGTGGGTGGAGGAGATGAGGTCCGACAACGAACGGATCAGTCCGGACATGACTGCTTCGGCCAGAGAAACTGCTATGGCTTCCATATAAACAAGGACACGACAAATACCGGTGAACTCCCGCTTCCTCTTTTTTTTTTTCTTTTCTAAAGGTTTATGTTAGAATTGTTTATGATGTTTCATAGCCCATAACTTAAGATATCACACCATTCTTTGTTTAATTCAGAATCTCCTTTTGCCTTTATTCCTCTTTGCTGTGTAAGAAGATAAAAGAGGAAGGAAAGAGACAATTTCATATCCATAGTGGTGTTAGAAAAAACGGAATAATATATCGTTAATATACGGTATTATTAGATACATTAAAAAATATTTAATAAATTTAGTTTAACGTTATCAAAAATGTTAAGTAATAATAATATTGTAGGTAGAAATCATGAAGAAGTTAAAAAATTTGGTAACCGATAAACTTAGTTTATCGATTTGTGTCGATATAAATAAAAAATGTATCGATTCATAGTAATATAACAGGTAAAAATATGACAAAATCGGTTTTATTATGATAAAACCGGTAAAGCGCTACCGGATATGTTGAAAGTATCGATTAGATTGAAATAAGTATCGATATTTTTGGAATTTAAAAGAGAAGCAGTAATAGCGCCTATAAAGTGTCGATACTTTATAAAAATGTATCGATCTATAACAATATAACAAGTAAAAATATATAAAACCGGTCTCAAAATGACAAAACCGATAAAGCGCTATCGGATATGTTGAAAGTGTCGATACATTAATATAAATATCAAAACTTTTAGAATTTAAAAGAGAAACAGTAATAGCGCTTATAAAGTGTCGATACTTTATAAAAATGTATTAATCCATAACAATATAACAGGTAAAAATATGACAAAACCGATCTCGAAATGACAAAACCGGTAAAGCGCTATCGGATATGTTGAAAGTGTCGATACTTTAATAAGTACGCGTAAAATATTATCGATACTTTTTAAAGAAATAGGTAAATATCCTATCGAAAGTATTGACACCTGACATAAAAGTATCGACACTTTGGTAATTGTATCGATTAAATATAAATAACATATCCGGTTAAAATATAAAAGGCATAGCTAAATTTCCTCTGAAAATAGATAGAACACGGCCGAGTTTTTGAGAAATCGAAGCGTAATTGTTGTTGCATTTCAGAAGGCGTTTTTAAAGCAAAGTTTGTTTGTTTGTTACTGCAGTCGAATCGAAAAGTACGTTGTCAAAACCTTAGTTTTTTATTATTACAGTAATCGGAAATAGATGTATTATGTGTTGTTTAGGGTTTTGAAAGTAAAGAAGCATTTGAGACCAATTACAGGTAGAAAGTGATATTCTAGGTAGATGATAAATATCAATATTTTTATTAAATATTATAGGTAGAAAATGATATTATAAGTTGTATAAATGTGCTGATACTTGAAGTATTGAGTGTTTCCATTCGTTTGAAGGAAATAGAGATTAGGATTTTTGGGTTTGGTTTGGGGATTTCGAATCGAAGCCAAAAAGGATTTGGGATCGATTATATAATATTATAGTAGAAAATAAATATAGATACATGTATATAATATTATAGGTAGAAAATGATATTATAGGTTGTGTAAATGTGCTGATACTTATAGTATTGACCATTCAAATTCTTTTTAAGGAAACTGTTTTACTACAAGAGTAGTTATCGATATTTGCATATTGAATAAAGTGTATGTAACTATTATTTGATTTTGATTTGCGTAAACTGATATATAAAGGAAAATGAAGTAAACGGATCTTGAAATTGTTGGTGGCGAAGATGACTTTAAAATTGAGGCCGAGAGTCGAAAGCAACCAATGGGTATATATATGTACTTCTAATAAGTATCAATGTATTTTTGTTATTATTGTTGAAATAGTAATTGGATTGAAGTATTTAAGAACTTTAAATTGATAACAGATTTTAAATGTTGACAGTATGACCGAATGCCAAAGGATGAAGGAAGCTGGCAATCACATCGGTTCGGTATTGATTAAGAAATGTTTATGCTTAATATTAGGTGAAAAATGATGTGTTGGAGAAATGGAAGTCGATGAGTGATGCTGAGAATGAACCTTACATCACACAGTCAAATATGGATAGTGAAGAATACAAAGCTTAGAGGAAAGCACATGAAAAGAATGTATTCATTAAACTTGTAAATACTTTGATACAAGATATATAAGAACAATAACACTATACATTGTTAAAAAATATAGGAAGTATCGACAAGGTGCAACATAAAAAGAGTGAATTTATTAATTGAACACCTTAAGGAGAATGAGCAATTGAATGTGCTGGAAGAAATGGGGTTTGGATAATTGATAGGAGTAAGGGATCGACCTATTCGGAGAAAATTGTGTCGATCCTTGATGGAGCAATTCGATGCCCAACAATGTATTGCTATGGTGATTATTCATTTCCTCTTGGGGGTCTCATGTGTTGCAGCCGTCTTGGGGTAGAAAATGAAGGCAAAAGTGTTGTATAAGTCACTAAAAGTAAAAATTGGAAAGCACTTGCCTCCAAATATGATTTGAAGCATAAGGTGACATATATTGAACTTGAAGAAGAAATCAAAAGTGAATCTTACAGGGGGATGACCTGAAGGCCCGAGTTCTATTGTACCTTCTCGGGATCTTTCTTTGTCCAACGGGTGATACATCAATGAACAAGGACAATGAAGTTGATTTGCGATGAAGGCTTGAATGGTGAATTCAATTGGGTCGAATATGTACATTCAAGATTGATTGAATCAATAAACAGCTTTCAAAAGGACAACCAAAGATACCTCAAAGGGTGCATAGCAATCTTAGAGGTAAATGAATTGAATAACATTTTTGTTTTTTTAAATAAAATGCTAGTATAGTTATTATATAAAATGATAAATTTTATTATAAATGTTGGTTGCACTGTTCGATTTTTGGTCGGGCTGTAATAGTGTGTTGACATATGAAAGAAACAGAGTGGCACGCATTCGTGCATGAGGGAAGGAAGAGGTGGTTAGAGTGATGTCGAAGTTGAAGTTAGACCGAGAAAGTAAGAAAGGGTAATAAATGTAATTAAATAATATTAAGAATATAATCAATGTATTAATATTGTAATTTAATTTTGAAGGTTATTGGCAAGGAGGTAGAGACGGCAGAGGAGGAAGTGGAGGCAGTGGATGCAGTAAAGGCAGTTGAGGAAGAGGAGAAGGAAGAAGAGATGGTAGTAGGGGATGACAGTGAGGGGGATGACGGTGAGGAAAACAGAGTAAATTCGACATTTTGATGTCTGAATTGGCGGATGTAAAAAAATTCTTTTTTGATATTTTGCAAAGACAAGTCAAATAAGCAATGGAGAGGCTTAAGGGGGAAGTGGGTGGAAAAATAGATGGAGATGTGAAAGAAGTCGTAGAGTTGAGGGGTGAAATTAAGATGGTGATGGGTGGAAAAATTAATGGAGTGGTGAAGGAAGATGTGGATTTGAGGGGTGAACTTACGGGGGTGAAGGAAGTGGTTCAGAAAAACTTGGATGAAGGGGAAAAAATGAAGGGTGAAATAAAAATAATGAAGAGTTATGTAGAGGAGAAATACGATGAATTGAAAAAATATGAAGAAGAAAAGATGGAGGAAAAAGAAGTGAGGAGGAAGAATGTCAATTTGATCTATACACCGAAGAGTGTTATAGATACAGTTTTGGATTCATAATGTCCTACACCCAAGAAGAAGAAGCAGAATGTAAGCTGAATAAAAGAAAACTTAATTTGATTTTTATTATGTTGTTGTGACAAAAATTTGTATGCAAAATTGTAGGTTGAAAAAACGAAAATTCCAAGCGGAATTGGTGATTACGAAGCTGCAATATGTGAATATTTATGGAATAATGGGTTAGAATCGTCGTAAGTGAAATATATTGCTATGTTAGTGATATTTAAATATTTCATGACAAAATATTAATCCTAATGCTTTATACAAAAATGTTGTAATCGCAATGGGAAATCAATTCGCTATCGTAAATGACGTTCAAACGTTGAAGCCTATGGAATGGGTTGGTGGTGCGGTAAGTAGAAAATAAAAAATGTTAAAACCTAGTGAATATGTTCTGATTGTGTAATTAATTTTGTTAGGTTATTGATTTGCTCGGCTGGACATTATGTTACGAATCGAAAAATTTACTCGGGAAGATTGACTACCTTTCATATCACTTAGCGTTGAGTTAAATTAATAAATTTTGAAAAGTAGTGTTATAGACGGTAAATTAATAATGATTGTCGCGTAAATATAGCAACAGGCGTTAGAGGCCAACGGCAATGTAACTCTTGATGGTCTTGTGAGCTTTTGGGGTTCTATATTGGATGATTATGTGAAATTCACCGAGTGTGACAAGGTAAGACACCATACGAATTGCAAATGATGTTTTCGGATATATAATGTTGAATTTTGTCAAATTGGGTGTGAAATTTATTGCAGATCATTATCACAATAAACTACCAAAATTCCCATTGGTATTTGTTGGTGTTGGATATGGTAGAATGTGTTGCAACGGTATATGATAGTATGTTTTCATCTCAAGCAGCCAAACAGAGAGTGAAGGATGCTAAGAAATTGGTATGTATGAAATGAAATTATGTAAATTATAATACATAATTTGTTTGGATCATAACTTGATATTTTTAATGCAAATGATAATATTATATAGGTATAATAAGGAACGCATTTGGGTAGAAGCATGTGGCTCTCTAGGAAATGTCTCATTGCAAAAATTCAAATTTGTGGAGCATAAGATGAATGGGCAATTAAATGGTATGAGATGTTATCATAAATAGAAAGCTCAATTTATGTAGGTTTTATAATTGACATGTGTGGTATTCAAATTTTGTAACAGATATGATTGCGGCATTTATGTGATGATGCGGATGGAATTGATCGGTTCTAGAGGGGCAACTGATGATTTTGTAAGTGGAATTAAAAATTTGTTTGCGGATAAATTGTTAAAAGTTGTAGATTGAATGTTGTGGGTTACAATACTTAACGTACTGACAATTTGAATATAGGTTGTTGGACAATGAGATCGTATGCGAATATTAAAAATCTCGTATGCCACAATCAAAATAGACTAAGAGATGAGATGACAAAAGCTTCCATGAGACACAAGAATAACAAAAGGAAGCGATGATGTCAATTTAAGGGAAATTTT